AGCATACACTCATACAGCCTTCTTCAGACCTGTCTGTGCAGCTCTGACACACTAGCATCTTGGGGACTTATTTCCTTCTCTTGATGAGTGGCAGTGTCAAACTCCAGAACAGCAAAGGGATGTGTTGAAGGCTTATGGGTTAGCATCATTCACTCTGAGAACCTAAAATCCTGCTAAGTGAGCCAGAAGGACTGGTGCACCCCTTCTGGCATGGCAGGTGGAAGCAAGAGGATCAGGAGTCTGGGTCATAGTCAATTAAAGGGGGAATTTAAAGCTAGCCTAAGCTTCTAGAGACCCTATTGCAAAACAATGACCACAACGCCAAAATTCTGTTAAAGGAGAGGAACAAGCTGATGTGTGGATTTGGGCTGCTGGTATGTGAGGCCCTTGAGATTCCCATGTCAAAGGTTTGGAGACTGGCCCGCCTTCCTCCAAGCTCTCACAGGTGACTTGTGTTTGCTTGGTAGCTCTTCCCAGGCTAGCTGGGCCTGGAGAGCTGGGATTAAGTTTTATGAACCTGTGTAGGCCCGGCACAGACCAAGCAGGGAGGATTGCTGGCTTAAGGACTCCTTTTTGTCTTGTAGAGCTGGAATGAGGTTGCAAACACTGACTACCTCTGGAGGTAAGGAAAGGGGTAGGATGGGCTGGAAGGGAAGAGACTTGTGGGGAGGGGGAGCTTCTGAGTCTGCACTTGGACCTCTTATGTGTGAGATGCACTCAGTAAAATGAACGTGATAAGAGGTTCGTGCACTGTAACAGTGTCTCGGAGGAGGTGAGCTGACTGGGATTGTGACTGTGCCTTGCAGGAAGCTGTGTCAGAAGAGGTGGTTCTTTCCAGACATGCCTCGAAAGTGCTGGCATAAACAGACATGGAAGCAGTACTTCCTTCGCCAAACTAGGCAAGAACACACTATATCCCGGGCAAAGCCAGAAGACTTCATCTACAAAGAAATGCCCGGGGACTTTGGTATGGGCATGGATATCCTAGAAGAGACACCTACTCGATATTTTCCCCATTCTATGTAGTCTTATATTCTCATTTAATAAGAGAGGGGAACCTGGCAGTGGTGGCGCATGCCTTTAATCCCAGCACTTGAGAGGCAGAGGCAGGCAGATCTCTGAATTTGAAGCCAGCTTGGTCTACAAGAGCTAAGTTCCAGGACATCTAGGGCTACACAGAGAAATCCTGTCTCAGGAAGAGAGAGAAGAGAGAGAGAGAATTACAATTACAATTTATTGGGTTGGGTTGCTGTCTAGTCATGGAAACAACCCTGATTTTTTTTTTTTTTTTTTTTTGCTCATGGAATTTATTTTCTAATGAGAGGACAAAAAGGGTGTGAGATAGGCAGGCACTAACTAGCTAGCTTTGCACATGACTCTATACTGGAAACACATTTGTGGTAAGAATCTTTAACAATTCTGCAATTCTGGCTACAGACTAAAGTCTGATTTCATGCAACAAAAATTAATTTGCTTCATTGTATTTTTAATTATGTGTATCTATGTGTGGGTATGCACATATACATGAATGCAGATGATCTTGTAGACCAGGGTGTTGGATCCTCCTGGAGACTGAGTTACAGGTAGTGGAGCCACCTGACGTGGGTGCTGTGATTTAAACCTGGGTCCTCTGGAATAGCAGCCGTGCTGTTAACCACTGAGTCATCTCTTCAGACCCTAATTGGCTTTTTTTTTTTTCTCCCAAGAGATTATTTATTAGTTCAAATTAGAAACAAGCCTGCTTCACATGTCAATCCCTTCTCCCTCTCCCTCCCCTCCTCCTCATCCCCCCCTCTGTTCCCCAGGGAGGGTGAGGCCCTCCCTGGGGGTCCCCCAAAGTCTGTCATATCATCCTGGGCCAGGCCTAGGCCCTCCCCCATGTGTCCAGGCTGAGAGAGCATCCCTCCATGTGGGATGGGCTCCCAAAGTCCCTTCTTACGCCAGGGATAAATGCTGATCCACTACCAGAGGCCCCATAGGCCCCATAGGCCTCCTCATTGACATTCGCGTTGAGGGGTCTGGATCAATCGTGTGCTGGCCTCCCAGACATCAGTCTGGGGTCCATGTGCTCCCTCTTGTTCAGGTCGGCTGTTTCTGTGGGTTTCTCCAGCCTGGTCCTGACCTCTTTGCAACTGGGTTCCAGAGTTCAGCTCAGTGTTTAGCTGTGGTGTCTGCCTCTGCTTCCATCAGCCACTGGATGAGGGCTCTAGGATGGCATTTAAGGCAGTACCAACCCTGATTCTTGTCTTGTCTGCTATGATCTGAATGGGAGACCCAGAGTGATTCTTAACAGCATAAAGCCAGCCCAGCCCTGTCACTCCATTTCCCCAGAGACTTCTTACCCTCTCCAGAATACAGAGAGGACTGAATGGGGAAATTATTAAATAGCACAGGCTTTACTATTTACCTTTCCCTTTCCCTAAAATCCTCCTTGCAACAGTTTTCTGATGGAGAGATACTTCAAATTTTTTACATTTTTAGTATGTGTGTGTGTGTGTGATGCATGTACATCCCACGTCAAGTGTATGTCAGAAGACAGCTTTGTGGAATCCATTCTCCTAATAACAGTCTTTTTTGTTTTGAGACAAGGCCTCGGTATGTAGCTGTGACTGGCCTGGAACTCAGTATGTAGACTAGGCTGGCTTCAAACTTGAGATCTGCCACTTGCCTTCCTTTGATGGGACTGGAGGTACACTACCACACCAGGCTTTATACACACACACACACACACACACACACACACACACACACATATATATATATAGAGAGAGAGAGATCTAGAGAGAGTGTCATGTACCATAGTCTGACCCCAAACTCTCCACGTAGCAAACAGCTATGACCTTGAACTTCTGATCTTTCTGCCTCCAAATGAGTTCCGGGATTAGGGTTTATGGGATTCTAGGAATAGAACCTAGCACTCTAACCACGGAGTTATATCCCTTTTTGTATCTATAGAAACAGATAAAGAGTAAAAATATCTGAGCCAGTGGCCAACCTGCAGCTTGTTTGGCTGACTCTCCCTTTCCACAGCTGTTACCCAAGCCTTCCTACAAAGGGAGAGGGAATCGAAAACATAGCTTTTCTGGTTCGTTTGTCACCCCTGAACTATCCAGTGTCCAAACATTGTTGGGGTTTCCTTGCAGGAGTTCAGGGATATGTGAGCTATCTCTCAAAGGGTGGCTTAACAATGGACAGAGAAGGAAAATCGGTGGTCTGTGTGGTGACTTCCAGGACAAAGCTTACTGCCTGGGATATTGGAGAGGTGAGTCTGGAGGAGGAGTAGCAGAACCGAGCTGTTCCCGAATTCATCTTTGTGTTGTTGAGACAGGGTCTCCCTGTACAGCCCATGCTGTCCTGGAGCTCCCTGTGTAGACTGACTTGCCTCTGCCTCTGCATGCTGGGCTTTAAGGTGTACACCACCACCCTGCTTCCTCCCTCTTTTTTAATTTACTCATGTTATGTGTGTGAGTGTTTTCCCTGAATATATGGATGTGTACATATGGAGGCCACAGGAGGGAGTCAGATCCCTTAGATAGAACTGGAGTTACAGATGGTTGTAAGCTATGGATGGTGGGCACAGAACCCAAGCTCCCTGCTGAGTCGCCTCCAGTGCCTCTGGTGTCTGAAAGTTTTCATTTTAGAGATCTTTCACAGATTAGGTTAGCTTTACCCACAGGTGTTTTGTTTTTTGTTTTTGTTTCTTGAGACATGGTTTCTCTGTGCAACCTCCCTGGCTGTCCTGGAACTCTCTCTGTAGACCAGGCTGACCTCAAACTCACAAGTGATCTTTCTGCCTCTGCCTCCCAAGTGCTGGGATTAAAGGTGTTCACCACTGCCCGGCTTATTCTCCGGCATTTTTTTTATATATTTTTTTTAATTTTATATGTTTGAGTGCCTGTGTGAGTTCATGGCTGGCGGGCTGGCAGAGGCCAGGAGAGTTGGATTGTTACAGGAGAGTGTGAGATGTTTAGGCCCCCAGAGCCCAGTTAGCATCCTCTGTAAGAGCAGTAATTGCTCTTAACGCTCCAGCCCCTTCCTTACTGCAGGGCTTTGTTGTTGTTTTGAGATTGTTGTGAATATGGTTGCTTCCCTGTTGCTCCTTTACTTTGCTTATTGGTAATAGGAAGGCCACTGGTTTATTTTTGTTTTATATTAATTTTGCAGCCTGTCAATTTGCTGGGTGCTCCATCAGCCCTAAGAGGTTTCTGGTGGGTCTTCAGGATCTCTTAAGGACAGAATCAGTGTTTGCAAATAAGGCTACTATTAGCCTCTCCCTTTCCTATTGGCAGCATGTGTGTGTGAAGGTCAGAGGCGAGCCTGTGGGGAGTTAAGTTTCCTCCTTCTGTCCTGAGGGGTGTCAGTTGAACTTAGATTATCAGTCTTCCTGGCAAGTGCCTTTACCTGCTGAGCCACCTTTGGCCCCTTTGCCTGGATCTTAGTGATTTATGTCTAACTTTGAGGTTTGTGTGTTTTATTCCCAAGGCACATCATTATTTGAGGTTTTTCTGAAAAAGTTTATTTTGAGACCCTGGTTAGCCTGGAACTCACAGATCCACCTGCCCCTGACTGTGGCTCATTGATTTCTCTTTTCTCCGACACTCTCTGATGTATTAATGCAGGAGCTTGGATCTGTAAACTCTTCTCTTAGGACTGCTTTCGCTGTACCTCATGGTTTTTATATGCTGTGGGTTTGTCTTCATTCAATATTAGGAATCTTTTTTACCCTCTTGATTTCTTTCATGACCCCATTCATCAGTTTGTTTGGTCTTCATGAGTTTGCATATGCTCTAGAGATCCTATGGCTGTTGGTTACAGCTTTATTCCAGTATATTATCTTAGAATATACACTGTGTGTGCTGCAGTATTTGGATAGAATGTTCTGTAGAATGTTCTGTCTCCTATTTTTTTTAACCTGTGGTGTCATTTAATTCAGTATTTCTGATTATTTTTCTGTCAGAAGGACCTGCCATTTGGTGAGAGTGGGGTATTAAAGTCACCCACTGCTATTGTGCTGGGATTGATCTGTGGCTTTCCAGGAGTATTTGTATTTCCAGGAGTATTACAAAATTGAATACCCCATCGTTTGGTGCATATGCTTAGAACTGTAATGGTCTCTTGGTGGATTATTTGCTTAATCAGAATGAAGTGATCTTTATCTTTCTGGCTAGTTTCAGCTTGAAGTCTATTTTGTCAGATAGTTAAACAACACCTGTTTCTTAGATCCATTTGCTTGAATTCCCTTTTCCATCCTTTTACCCTAGGGTAGTGTCTATCTTTTATGGTGAGATGCATCTTGGGAGACTGTTTGCTACGAGCTAAACTTTGCTTTGTTACCTGCTCTTGATCTCATCAGTGTTTTTATATCCTCTTGACTCAATTTTAGTAGGTTTTACTAAAGAAATGTGTCGATTTCTGACCTTATAGGGAGATTCCCATGGTACTAGCACACAGATTTATCAAGCTGTGGCTTGATCAATGTAGGGAACCCACATAGATGTTGTGGAAACAAAGTTTGTGTGATTCTTAGATCTGCTAAATCTGTGTGTGCCTGCCTGGGAGCAGGTGCTATGCCCTCCTGGGGATGGGGTAATTGACACAGGCTGTTTTCCCCATGGTAGTGTCTGCCAGGGATTGGTGTACCTTATCCCAGGAGCTAAACAGAAGAGAATGTGGCTGTCACTGGGCATAGTTTCTCCTGGGACCTTCTTAAGCTGTATGTCTTAAGGGAGGAAGGACAGTGGGAGCGGTGACAGCATTGCTTGACACAGTACCCATACACCCGTGTATAGGTGGAGAATAGGGGACACCTCAGTTCTCTTTCCCCATCTGGTTTGTTAAAGATTGGAGCCCATCTGGGAGAGGAGTGGTGAGGACTATACAGGACACTACTTTTCACCCTAGTCCCTATGGGAAAGTACACAGGGCTGACCATGCCTGAGGTTCTTAGGGGCAGTACCCATGGTTTGTCTCCACACCATGATGCCAGATCTCCACTGTGCACTCCCTGTTGGTTTGTGCAAGAGTTTCTCTTGTGTACTCTAACTTGTGAGACAGCCACGTGCTGAGACAGTATAGTAGAATGTCTAAGGGGTCCCAGGCATGGGATTTGCAGGCTTCTTCACTTCCAGAGCAGTGTATGGTGTCCCAGGTGTGGGGGGTGTGCAGGCTTCTTCACTTCCAGAGCAGTGTATACGGCCCCAGGTATGGGGGGTGTGCAGACTTCTTCGCTCCCAGAGCAGTGTATGTGGTCCCAGGTGTGGTGTGTGCAGGCTTCTTCGCTCCCAGAGCAGTGTATGTGGTCCCAGGTGTGAGGTGTGTGCAGGCTTCTTCGATCCCAGAGCAGTGTATGGTGTCCCAGGTGTGGGGTGTGCAGGCTTCTTCACTCCCAGAGCAGTGTATACTGTCCCAGGTATGGGGGGTGTGCAGGCTTCTTCGCTCCCAGAGCAGTGTATGTGGTCCCAGGTATGGGGGGTGTGCAGGCTTCTTCGCTCCCAGAGCAGTGTATGTGGTCCCAGGTATGGGGGGTGTGCAGACTTCTTTGCTCCCAGAGCAGTGTATGCGGTCCCAGGTGTGGTGTGTGCAGGCTTCTTCGCTCCCAGAGCAGTGTATGTGGTCCCAGGTGTGGGGTGTGCAGGCTTCCTCGCTTCCAGAGTGGTCTGAGGTTCCCAGGCATGGGGCATGTAGGCTTTGTCACTCCCAGAGCAGTCCTAATGTAGGTACTTAGCTTTCTTCTCGAGGTGGCTCCTGGTTACAGCATTCTATGGGGGCTCTGGCAGGTGAAATAAACTCTTTATCTCTGTAGAGAGACAACTGGCTCTCTTCTAGATGGAGATGCCAGCAGTAGGTGATGATATTCTTGTTTCTCTTGGTATGTCCTTCCCTGTTCTGAGTTTTCAAGGTTTCTTTCTTTCCTTTCTTTCTTTCTTTCTTTCTCTTTCTCTTTCTCTTTCTTTCTTTCTTTCTTTCTTTCTTTCTTTCTTTCTTTCTTTCTTTCTTTCTTTCTTTCTTTTCTGGTTGAATCTCAGTGCTGTGTAGTCATGTTTTGAAGTACACAGCTATGTGCCTGTGTTCCCCATCCTCCATGGAGAAGTGGTTGAATGGACGCTGGATGCCTTTATGAGTATACTGCTTATTCTGTTCTCTCAAATGTTTTTCTTATTTTAAAAGATAAGAGTCTGTGTTATAAAATTATGGAATGAACATTGTTTGAGAGGTCTCACCCTGCAATTCTGGCTGGCTTGGAACTATGTAAACCAGGCTGGTCTCCAACTCCACAGATCTGCCTGCCTCCTGAGTGCTGTGACTAAAGCAAATGTGTTCTGTTTTTGTTTGTTTGTTAGACAGGTCACAGGTCACTGGTTTTGTTTGTTAGATCACAAATGTTTAGAAACATTGTCACTTGCAGCAAAGTGAAAATGCACCAGAATGAACTGGATGATCTTGAGGTTGGAGGCTTTTTGGTCATTTTGTTTTGGGAGGTGTTTAAGGCAGAGTATCAGATGGTCCTAGTACTTACGAGGCAGCCCAGGCTGGCCTCAGACTCACGGGAACCTCTTAGTTCTGCCTCTAAGTGCTGGGACACAGTAGTGGATCTGCACACCTGGCAGAAAGAGCTAAGAGTAGAACTTGACTTCAAGCTCATGAGACTTAGAGTCATGTGCTACATGGCGCTGAACACTTAACACTTTAACAGGCTGCCTTTCAAAGGAATCAAAGTGGTAGTCACCTTTTAGTGACAGATGTTAACTCAAAGGGGAGATGACGTTTAAGGGGAAGAAGGTGTTACTAATAGATCTCATGCAATGGAATTAGGGCTTAGAAATGGTTATATTGGTCATTGCCTTTTTTTTTTTTTACTAAATTCACATTACCATTTATGTTTTTGGCTTTTGTTTTTAACTGGTAGGGGTGTGTTATTTCTAAGATAAAGAAAAGCCTGGAAGAGAACCCATTTTTTTTTTTTTGTAATGTATAAGAATTGATGATACAGGGCTGGAGAGATGGCTCAGAGGTTAAGAGCACTGACTGCTCTTCCAGAGGTCCTGAGTTCAATTCCCAGCAACTACATGGTGGCTCACAACCATCCGTTATAAGATCTGGTGCCTTCTTCTGGTGTGCAGATACACATGGAAGCAGAATGTTGTATACATAATAAATAAATAAAACCTTTAAAAAATTGATGATACAATAACACGTTTTGCAAAGATTAAGTCATTGTGAATAGGTTTTGTGTGTTATAAAACTTGATACTAAGCCGGGCCTTGAGCCCCAGCACTTAGGAGGCAGAGGCAGGTGAATCTGAGTTCCAGGCCAGCCTGGTCTATAGAGTGAGTTCTAGGACAGCTAGGGCTATTCAGAAACTGTCTCAAAAAACCAACCCCCCAAAACCCAAACTTAATACTTCTAGAAGTGGTGGTCCTTAGTGCTCAGGTGGCAAAGGCAGGTGGATATCTGAGTTTGAGGCCAGCCTGGTTTATAAATAGTGAGTTCCAGGACAGCCAAGACTGTAGAGAGACCCTGTCTCAAAAATAAATAAATAAATAAATAAATAAATAATAAATACTAGCCTCACAAGACACAGTGATAGGAACATGCTGCATGTTGCACTGTTAGTAAATTTTGATTTGAGAATGGGGTGACTGATTGTTCTTCATACATGTTTGTGAGAGTTGGTTCTCTCCTTCCACCATGTGGTTCCTGGGGATTGGACTCATGCATGTCATCCGGTTTGGTAGCAAGTACCTGATGAGCGAACTCACCAGCCATGTTCTGCTGTACAGTCTGTGTAGTGAAGGCTTGCCTCTGAGCATAGTGCACATGTCCTGTTTTCATGTCCACTCCTGCCCCCAAATAATCTAGATGTTTATATTTTTCTTATTCATTTATTTTATTTATTTTTGGCTTCTCTGTGTAGCTTTGGAGCCTGTCCTGGAGCTCACGCTGTAGATCAGGCAGGCCTCAGACTCAGAGATCCGCTGCCTCTGCCTTCTGAGTGCTGGGATTAAAGGCGTGCACCACCACCTCTCGGCATATTTTTCTTTTTTGTGTGTCTCCTTTCCTTTTTTGAGATAGTCTTGTAGTGTAGCCCAACTGGTCTGCAACTTGATATTGTAGACCAGGCTGGCCTCAAACTTGTAGTGATCCTCCTGCCTCTGCCTCCCTGGGCTGGGGTTATAGGCATGTGCCACTATGCCCAGCTAGAAATGCTTAGACTTTTCATATCCTTTTCTTGTAAGAAGTGGTTCCAGTCTGGAAAAGGCTTCCAAATAAAATTGATGGATGAAAGCAGTGGAAATAAATAGTTCAGTAGACACAATGCTGCTCTTGTTCATTAGGGTGCTATGACCTGGTTAAGCCCAGAACAGCCTATCGATATCCTGAAACTGGCTTCCCTCCCGGAGATGCACCTTGTGATCACCGTAGATAAGGATGCAACCGTCAAAGTGTGGAACTGTCGTGACAGGGATGCTCTGGCGACTAACAGAATGTTATCTCCCTGTCGATCACTGAAAGCTGTCATTACAAGGCATGGTCCAGTGGTCTTGGTAAGTGATCCCCAAATTGCCCTCTTGGAGTCCTCTCTGCAAACCCTGAGAGTCCATCACAGTACACTAATAAATGATAGCTATAGAATGTCCATGCCTCTAACCTAACTTCATGTGCATTTAAGCCATCCTTTTTGTTTGAGACAGTGTCTCTTTGTGTAGCCTGGATGTCGTAGAACTTGCTATATAGACCAGGCTGGCCTCAAACTGTGATCTGCCTGCCTCTGTCTCTTGAGTGCTGGGATTAAAGGTATGTGCCACCCCCACTCTGCTCCTAAGTCATTTTTTAAAAACAACAATGGGGGAGAGATGGCTCAGTGGGTAGGAGTGTTTGCTGTGCAAGCATGAAGACCCGAGTTCAAATACCTGGCACTCACATAAAAAGTGGGATGTAGCTAAATATGCCAGCAACCCTAGTGTGACTGGGGCTGGAGATAAAAGGGTGACTGGGGCTTGCTGGATGCTAACCAGCCTAGCTCCAGATTCAATAAGAGGGAATAAGGTGGAGATTGATGCAGCAGGAATCTGACACCCTTCTCTGGACTCCATGTATGCACAGGTATGCATATCTACACAAAAATGTACAGATATACATGTAATACAGTTTTTCTAAGTGACATCACATCTTTGCTTCTTTCAAATGTTTGTTATTATAGAGTTAATAATTTTGGACAAAGACAGTGGAGAGAGAAATGTGTATATTTTCATATTAGATACTATGGAAAATAGGAAAATGTTTATCCCAGTGAGTCCTTGGGGAAGACTGTTTTAGGGCTTAGAAAATCTCTCTATCCTGGGCCGTGGTGGTGCACACCTTTAGTCTCAGCACTGGGGAGGCAGAGGCTGGAGGATCTCTGTGAGTTCAAGACCAGCCTGGTCTCCAGAGCAAGTGACAGGACTACTGCCATGTCAGTTGACAACTGCCATCTATTCTCTAGAAGAACGAGTGCTCTTAAAAACCTCTGAACCACCTCTCTAGCCCCAGAAGGTCTCATTTTTGTTAAAGATCTATTTTTAATTATGTGTCTGTGTGTGGGTGTGTGCATGTGAGTATCGGAGCCCACAAAGTCTAGAAGAGGGATCCGGATCCCTTGGAGCAGGCAGGGGTGAGCCACCCAAGGCAGATTCAGTACAGGCTCTTACCCACTGAGCCTAGAAAGTCTTTTTGCATGGGCTCATCCAAGGGGCTCTGTGAGGCAGGCTGGTGGCTCTCAGACCTGGCAGTGCAGCCTCCCTCCTACTCCAGGTTTCCCTCCTGATTTCAGGCTGGTGGCACTTCTGGTGACCTCCACACATACCGGGTTCCCGACTTACTGCTCATTTCTACAGTCCATGCATTGGAGGCCCCTATTAACCAGCTCTACTGCTCTCCTCACTTGAAGTGGGTCTTTCTGAATAAGAAAGAGCCTCGTGTCTTGCCAAAGGTAGGTCTGTTCAAGAGACTTGAACTTCAGGGTGGGTGGGAGAGTCAAGGGAGGTCCAGCCCTCAGGGAGGACCAGGCAGGCTGCTCCTCTTCCCTTAGCCTTACCACAAGCAGAAATCATCCCCACAGTCAGGAAGTAAAGCTCTGGGGAGCAGCAATGTCTAGTCACAATGGCAAATGTCTATTAGTGAATAGTGTCCTTGAAACCGGCTCAGCCAAAGGCAGGTGAAGTAAGGGTCCCTGGAAACCTCCTTTACTTTGCTGGCCCTGAACTCACAGCAGTCTCTTGTCACTGAACTACACTCCTGCCTTCCCCAGGAATCCACCTCTGGTGCTGGATTTCAGACATGTGCCACCATGCCTGTCGGGAGTCCCTGCTGGTCAGACATACCATGGCCTGGCAGCGCTCTCAGAGCTTGGCACAATATGGAAGATTTCCCCCACCCCACCCCCTGAAGTCTCCCTGCTCTCTACCTAACTTTATTTGGAGATGGACTCTAAGCACAGATGCCTGACTTACCTCAGGTGTGACCCTTGATACGGCTCCTGCAGAAGCTTCCCCTGCTGCCACATAGGGAGTCTTATGACAGGAGCTGCTCTTTAATGCAAACTAGGTGATGCCCCAGCCACTGTCCCCATCCTGAATGCTTCCATTACTCTGAAATAAAGCTGAGCTGTAACACTGAAACAGTCTCCTGGAAGGCTATTTCTGTCATGCTCATAGGCCAGACAAGGCCCTGTTTGCCCTTGTGGCCTGGTGGCCAATGGACCATGGTAAAAGAGGGGACCTACACATCCCCAGTGCTCTTTATACTCCCTTCCCTCCGAACCCCTGTCTCTGTGGTGCCCAATTCATGTGAGGCGGTGGCCTGCTCAGAGGCCGAGTGCTTCCTCAGGGCCCATGCATATTTATTTACCTTTGTACATTGCTGTACTTTCAGAGCCAGCCTGTGTTACAGTAAGATGGTCTCAACCCCTCCTCATTAAAAAAAAAAAAAAAAAAATCAAACAGCCCTGGACAGAAAAATCTACTTCTGTCTGATGAGGAGTATATTGTGGGAGACTGACTGAGTAGCCCTTTGACCTGAGTCAGGAAATCTACTTCTGTCTGAGGAGTATGTTGTGAGAGACTGACTGAGTTGCCCTTTGACCTGAGTCAGGGACTCCATTCTATCTCTGTCCTAGAATATGGCAGGAGAGACAGGAAGACAGTGGGTTACTGGGATATTGAGTGGGAGCAGTCACGGCTCAGCGCTGTGCATTTCTTCCTCAAGCCCCTTGCATGGAGTTGCATATGTGCCAGACTGCGGCAGAGTTACTCTTCACTGACCCTACTGTGCGATACTCTCTGTAGGTGTTTTTCATGGACAGCTTGCTGAGGCCAGCAGAATACCCCACCCCTGTGTTTTGTGTTATTTCATTTACATTATGCGTCAAAGGCTTCTGGACCCCAAGGAGGGAAGACCGGATAACGCTGATGTACCAGAGAGGCGCCCACAGAACTGCGGGATTTGTTACATTTGATATAGAACTGGAAAAGACAGAGGACAAAATAAATGTTGAAGGTAAACCTCACCACCTTAGACATCTCACAAGCTAGGCGTGACAGCACATGCCCCAAATCTGGAGTCTGAGGCTGAAAAGCTTCAGAGAGAGGACTGCCTCAAAAACAAAGATTGGCCTGGTGAGATGGCTTAACATGTGCACATTCATGCAAACATGCACACAGATGCACACACAATAATGAGTTTTTTAAGAAAAGAAAAAGAAAAGGCCAAAAATAGTGGTGCACACCTTTAATCTCAGCACTCAGGAGGTAAAGGCCAGGTGAGTTGAGGTCAGCCTGGTCTACAAAGTGAGTTCCAAGACCACCAGGGCTGTTGCATAGAGAAAACCTGTCTTAATAAAAAACAACAACAAAAAAATACAACACACTCATTGGTGGTGGTGCACGCCTTTAGTCCCAGTGCTCGGGAGGCAGAGGCAGGCGGGGCTCTGTGAGTTCGAGGCCAGCCTGGGCTACAGAGAGATTTCCAGGACAGGCTCCAAAGCCACAGAGAAACCCTGTCTCAAAAAACAAACAAACAAAACAAAAACAAAAACAAACAAAAAACCAATCAAACAAAACCAAAAAACCCTTTATTATGTGGCTAGCCATTGCTTACAACAGTGATTCTCAATCTGTGGGTAGTGACCCCTTTAGCAAACCTCTATCTAAAAAAATATTTATACTATGCCTCTGTGGTGATATATTATTTATAATTTAAAGATTTCCTGAAGTATCAGAAAGCAAAGCCAGCCACATAAGCTAGCTGTAAAAGCTAGGCAGTGAGCCCAGATACACGAAAGAGGGCCTAGGCCCTCCCCCAGATGATGTGACAGACTTTGATAGTCCCCCATGGAGGGCCTCACTATCCTTGGCGTGGGTGGGTGGTGGGTTGGGGGGGTCGGTGGAGGGCGTGGGAGGATGGGAGGTGTGGGAATGGGGGATTGATCTGTAAAATAAGATTGTTTCTTAAAAAAAAAAAAAAAAGCTAAGCAGTGGTGGCACACACCTTTAAAGCCTGGCCTCAGGATGGATCTCTGAGTTCAAGGCCACCCAGGATCATCCCTTTTGGCCTGAGGTAGAGATAAGAGCTAGTGGCCGACTGCTTTGCTTTTTCTGATCTTCAGCTTGAAGTTTGACCCCCCCACCCAACATCAGTCTCTGGGTCTTTTGTGTCCCATGCCTCATAACAGCAAAATTAGTTATTTAGTAGCAATGAAAGTAATTTCATGGTTGAATCACAACATAAGGAACTGTTTTAAAGGGAGTCACATTATTAGGAAGATTGAGAACCACTACACTAGCTTTGGAGATAGGGACACTCGACTGCCAGGGCTGACAACCTAGTTTAATTCCTGGGGTACCACATGGTGAAAGGAGAGAACTAAGTCCCTCAAGTTGTCTCCTGACTGCCATGTGTGTTTGTGGCATGAACATGTATACAAACCTAATCAATAATCACGTGAAAACAATGTTAAAAAGAAACCCTATTTTCAGCCGGGTGTTGGTGGTGCACACTTTAATCCCAGCACTAGGGAGGCAGAGGCGCATCTCTGAGTTCAAGGCCAGCCTGGTCTCCAGAGCGAGTGCCAGGATAGGCTCCAAAGCTACACAGAGAAACGCTGTCTCGAAAAACAAAACAAAAAATCCTATTTTCTCCTCTCACTCCCACAAGTACTCATAAAGCCATAATGCATGACTTTGTTTTTTTTTGTATTTTGTGTTTTGAGACAGGGTTTCTTTATAGCCCTGACTTTCCTGGAACTTGCTCTGTAGATCAGGCTGGCCTCGAACTCACAGAGATCTACTGGACTCTGGGATTAAAGGCATGTGTCACTATGTGATGATGCAAGCTTTTGTAAAGGGAACAGAAGGGCTCCTTAGCTAAATGTGAACCCATGCCTGTTCAGTGGTCACACTCAAGTGGACGCTGTACTCTGCTCTCTTGGGCAAACATGCTTCCATTTATATCCTGTGTTAGGGACTGGATTCTAATGTCCTTTCCTAGAACAGGTGTCTTCCCAATGATTGAGCCATTATTGAGTGTCCACACTACCCCTGTGTTACAGCCCTCCTTTCCATGATAAAGACAGATATGTCAGTCCATTGGACTGTTTTCATGGTCTCTACCAGACTAGAGTTCCATGGAAGGAAGGGTATGCTTTTAACTTGACAATAAGGATTTTGCTCTGACTTAAATGATTTAAAAATTGCCTGCGCATTTTGTGTGTGTTTTGTATGAAACAGCACGTGTTGTAGCAAGCTTCAAGCTGTCATGTCACACGCAAAGCCCAGAGTGGATGGGCGTCAGTGACAAGAGTGTGATTGTGTGTTCAAGTGGGCCATCTCTGTTAGTCTACACCATGACTGGGCTCCAGCTGCAGAGATTTCAGGACTATCCGGAAGAGATCATGCAATTACTGGTGGTATGTTTGGGATGCTTCCTTTCCAGTGGGCCTTTTGTTTTTGTTTTTGTTTAACAGATTTAGATTTTGCTGTTTTTTGTTGGTTTTTTTTTTTTTTGTTTGTTTTGTTTTGTTTTTGAGACAGGGTTTCTCTGTGTACCCTTGGCTATTCTGGCACTCGCTCTGTAGACCAGGCTGGCCTCAAACTCAGAGATCCACCTGCCTCTGCCTCCCAGAGTGCTGGGATTAAAGGCATGCAGTGCCACCACCTGGCCAAATTGATGTTTTTAACGTTATCACTGCTGGGGTGTTCCAGGGCATGTGTGTTTGTGTGTATACAGTGGCCAGAGGCCAACTTTCTGGAGTTAGTACTCTCTGGTTACACCCTTGCTCAGGGATGGCTGAGTGTCAGGCTTGCTCAGCAAGTGCCTTTATCTGATGAGCCATCTCATTGGACCTTTACCCTGTATTGTAATCTGACCTTGACTCCTGTCCACTCACGTCTGGATGTCCTTTGAAGAATCCCATATACGTCATCGTCACATTTACTGACGGCTGTTTGGAAGTGTACAAGTGGGAGGAAAGAAGTTATTACCTCACGAAGTGTTACCGCCTGCAAAATGAGAGCCATCTGGGGCAACAAAGGTAAGCTCTGCTCTGTGATTTAAAATTTACTAAAGCCGAACGCAATGTGGAGTCAGAACTAGATAACAGATAGTTTATTAAGAAAGTACTCACACAACAGAGCCAGTGACCAGGTTTACACAGGATACCTGCTCGTCTGCTCAGCCAGGCAGGAGGGGGAAAAAGAGGGCTGCAAGCATGCCTCTCTGATATTTAAACCCTTGCTAAGTCACTCTGACCATGCCCAATCAGGCACGTGGTCAGCGTTACCCGTGTCCAGCCCCAAGCAGGCATGGTCAGCATTTTCCCCTACACTTTCCCTTAATTAAAAAAAAAAAACCTTCTGCATAAAAATGAATTTTTTAAAAAAGAGAAATTGAGCTTTCTGTAAAAAGATATGACTGACTAGGTTTATGATCCCAGCATCACATAAAACCAGGAATTGTGCTGTGTGTGTACAGGAGGGTCCAGATTGAATCTCTTGTCAGTCCCAGGACAGCGTGGGCTACATAGAGAGACTCTTGTCTTTAGAAAGAAAGTCAGGCAGTGTTGGCACACACCTTTAATCCCAGCACTCAGAAGGCAGTGGCAGGCGGATCTCTGTGAAGTTGAGGCCAGCCTGGTCTACAGAGTGAGTGAGTTCCAGGACAGGCTCCAAAGCTACATAGAGAAACCCTGCCTTGAAAAAAAAAAAAAAAAAGGTATTTCATCCCTCTGGATATGGTGGCACACACCTATAATTCCAGCATTCAGGAAACTAAGGCAGAAGGTTTACCTCAAGTTTGAAACCAGCCTGAGCTATTATAGTGAAACCTTACTTTAAAAAAATTATTTTTCTACTTTGTGGGGTTTCTCTTCATTCTTTTGGGGGGTTTCTGTTTTGTTTGCTTCTGTTTTGTTGGTTTTTTTTTTTCCTTCCACTTTGCTGTGGAGAAGCTTTTTAGTTTAGTTTGATTCGATCCCATTTGTCAATTCCTGGTTTGGTCACCTGTGTTTGAAATCCTAGCCAGAACTCTTGCCTAGCCGAGAGTCATAGAATTTTTTCTATAGATTCAGTTTTAGTCATTTTCAAGCTTCAGGTCTGATCTTGTCTCGTATCTGTTCTAAGTTAATTATTGAATTACTGAGTAGTGGGTGATACAAGAAAGTGGTGGATAGCCGGCCTTGCAACACCATTTATTGGAGAGACTATGCCTTTCCCTTAAACCAATTAACTATAAATGTGTAGGTTCTTTTCCTGGGCTCTGATGCATCTATTTTTATGGCAAAGCCATTCTGCTTTGATCACTGTAGCTTTGTGATGTATTGAGTATTGTGATACCTCTAGTTCTGTTGTTTTGGTCAAGAAGGTCTTTGCTATTTAAAGTGTGTGTATGCATGGGTGTGTGCGGGAGTGCATGTGTTTTGAGACAACTCCTATAACCCAGGCTGACCTTAAACTTGTTATGTAACCGAGGCTAGCCTAAAGCTTTATGTATCCAAAGGTTGCCTTAAACTCCTGATCCTTCTGCCTCACTCACTCTGTCTTTTAATTGGTATTACTTTATTCTTTCAGGATTTGAAAGGGGCTTTACTATGTCCATCTGCCTTCTATGATGTGCTGAGAGCTCTATTGTCTTTGCAGTCTGTCACTTGTGTATATCCAGGTGTAATATCCTCCTGATTTCAAGTTTGTTTAGGGTTGTGTGTGCCTCTGACCCCTCCACCACAGGGCTTCTCTGTGTAGCTCTGGCTGTCCTGGAACTTTCTGGAGACCAGTCTGGCCTCGAACTCTGAGATCTGCCTGCCTCTGCCTTCTGAGTGCGGGGATCAAAGGCGTGCGCCATCACAACCCAACTTTTATTCAGTTTTTAGAAATTTGATTGCGGTGTATCTCGTGTGAATGTTTGGGATTTAATGTGCTTGCGCTTGATCAGCTTTTGACTGTAAATTTACCAATTTGGGGAAGGCATTTTGTCTTTCTTGTGCTGGGGGAGTGAATCCCAGGTCTTGCACAGGTAAAGTATGATTTCTGCAATGAACTTTATCCCAAAACTTTAGGAAGTTTTGCTGTGTTCTCAACATGCCTGGTGGGGGGAGGGGGAGAGAAAGGGGGAGGAAGAACCTCTCCTGCTTCAGTCTCTTAAACTGATGTGGCTTAAGGCATATGGCATCACACCAGCGCCTCTCATTGCTAAGTTTAGATACCTATCAGCTGTGGGGGAGGTCTATCCCAGAAGGCTGGATCAGCACTCATACTATGAATGACAGTCTACCTTTGCCAATGTGTGCAGTTACACAAATAACTGAGATGGCTTAACAGTTAAGGCAATTGCCACCAAGTCTGACAGCCTGAGCTTGAGTCCTTCAACTTTCTTGGAAGGAGAGAACTGATTTCCACAGGTTATTCTCTAAAACACATATACACACACACCATGAATAAGTAAATACTTAAAAGTTCTAGATAAATTTAGGAATGTGATTAAAGAACCGTTATCAGTTAGTGTGGCTACTCCCGTTTGTTCACTGACATTTTGTTTTTCCCCTTGGGCAGCATGATCCCCAAAACCCTGTGCGATGACGTGAGCATAATCCGAGTGGTGGCAAGAAGGGCGCAGTGCTTTCTGCTGGCGTACGTTATGAAGCTCTGCTCTTGAAGACTGAGGGCCGTCCGTCCTCTTACTCACTGTAATAAACCTCCATTTCCAAAGCTAGACTGGTGATTTTAGTGTTGCGAAGAAGTGAGGAGGTCAGATGTGGTGGCGCACACCTTTAATCCCAGCACTCGGGAGGCACAGGCAGGTGGATCTCTGAGTTCGAGGCCAGCCTGGTCTACAGAGTGAGTTCCAGGACAGAGAAACCCTGTCTTGAAGGTTCCCCGCTCCCCCACAAAAAAATGTTTAATTGGGCTTATGGACTTCGAGGGTTAGAATCAATATGGTGGACTATAGAGGCAAAAACAGCTAAGGGCTCACCTCCCGATCTGCAAATAGAAGGCAGAGGACACTGGGAATGACACGAGTCTTTTGAAACCTCAAAGCCTGCTCATAGTAACACACCTAATCCTTCTAAAGTAGTTCCAACTAGGGACCAAGAATTCAAACAATTGAACAGAGTAGGGGGTATTCTCATTCTACTTAGGGCACATACATACACACATGTACACCATATACACATACATAAATTATTTAAAGAGGAAGGTTTTATGAAAAGATAATTTGAAGCAAGGATTTAAAAACGAGAGCTGTGCCAATGAGATGGCTTTAGTGGGTGAGAGCACTTTCCAGGCAAGTCTGGTGACTTGAGTGTTCAATCCCTAGAGCCCACATGGTGGAAAGAAATCTAACTCCCGAAGTTGGTCTGTGAGCTCCACTTGAACTGGCATGAATGCGAGCCTTTGCATGCTTACACTACACCCACACACGGGGGGGTGGGGTTGGGGGGACTGGCACACAAAGAATTAGAGAAACCACAGAAATCAAACCTACTGGGATCTTAGCTTCTATGTAGACATCCTTGAAGTCTAGCATGCCTTTGAAGTCCACTTCTGATCTGCTAGTCCAGGCCTGATCCAGGTTCTTCCTCAGTCACAGAAGCCCTGTCAGGGTGCATCTTCCAGTGGTAACTAATCAAGCCTTCCTGTATGTGGCTAATATTCTGCTAACACACACTAATGTTTATCAGACTGTAGTAGCTGACTAAATGCTAGGACCTCTCATCTTCTCAATTCCCCAGAATTCCCTGGGGCTTCAAGCTATCACTCACAGGGCTAACTAGATTATAGAGAATTAATCTGTGCCATTTCCTTTATTAGAGGTCTTTGACCGGATACCATTTAGTAACATTTAAAATAGCATAGGGAGGGGTTGAAGAGATGGCTCAGCTATGAGCATTTGCTGACCTTACAGAGGACCTGAGGTGAATTCCTAGCACCCACATGGCAGTTCATAGCCCCCTGTACCATCTGTAATTCTGGTTCTGGGAGATCAACACCCTCTTCTGGCTACTCTGGCATAAGGCATGCACATGGTACACATGCATACACTTAGACAGAGCACGCATCAATTTCAAAAAATAAAAACCACATACCCATAAAATTAACTCTTAAAAAAGGCTCCTAACAAAAAAAAAAGGCTCCTAACTTTAAAAAGTATACATGAATGGTTTAAAGTCATAGATGTGAATATACTTGCCTGTGAGTGTGCCTGGGAAGGCTCTGTATGCACTCACCTGTGAGTGTGCCCGGGAAGGCTCTGTATGCACTCCCCTGTGAGTGTGCCCAGGAAGGCCAGAGAGCAGTGTTAGCTTCCCTCTTTTGCTCTACATCTTAAAATCAGTTCATACATTTATTGGAGTGGGGAGAGCATGCCACAGTGCACATGTGGAGCTCAGAAGACAACATGCAGGGGTGGGTTTTCTCCTACCTCGTTGGTCCCTGAGATCTATACAGGTCACGAGGCTTGGTGGCAAGCACTTT